TATTCTGGGATAGCTCTAGAGCCCCCCAGCACCAAGGCTTACCTGTGAGATGTGTGTGTTTGCGGGCTTCATGTGTCTTTGGTGTCCTGCGGTTTTTCCATGAGTGGTTTGGCGAGTGCCATTGCCCAAAATAATACCTCGAGCAGGGAGTTAATACTGAGCCGAAGTAAGGCTCGTGAGGGTGCCCCTGCCGTCCGAGTCACTACGTGCCCTGAGAAACTGGCACCGTGTTCCAGGGACGGGTGGTTGCTGTCAGTCGCTGGAGCAGCAGCCCCGGGCTTCGAGCACTTTCCTCTCTAAATAACATCCCCTCACCTGCAGCTGGGAGCGAAAGAGAAGGGGGCACAGAATTAACGAAAGCTGGTGCCTCCGTGCCTGGTTGCTGTTGTGTCTTGGGCACGAGGCCTCTGTCTCCAGAGCACCTGGCACCTGCTTGGTGGCTCGTGCAGGCTCCTGTCTTGCACTGATGAGTCCCCAAGGCCCGTACCTCGCCCGTCCGACGAGTGTTATTTCGTCTGTGTCGTGCGCAATGCGCTGTTGCGTCGCTGCACTGCTCAGGGCACAGCAGCACCTCCCGCTTCTGCACGTTCCTCCCTCATCCCTGAGTTTTTTATTTTTTACTTATGGCTTGGCTGTAGCGTTTAAACATTCCCTCAGCCATGGCCTGCGGGAGTTAGGGTTCAGAAAAAAAAAGGGGTCAGCATCCGAGATCCCACCGGCTGTGCCCTCACCCTCCCGTGCTGTCCTTCCAGGTACATCGAGAAGTCGGCAGAGGAGCTGGATGAGGAGGTGGAGTACGACATGGACGAGGAAGATTACATCTGGCTGGACATCATGAACGAGCGGCGGAAGACCGAAGGCGTGAGTCCCATTCCCCAGGAGATCTTCGAGTACCTGATGGACCGGCTGGAGAAGGAGTCCTACTTCGAGAGCCACAACAAGGGGGATCCAAACGCCTTGGTGGATGAGGATGCCGTCTGTTGCATCTGCAACGACGGGGAGTGTCAGAACAGCAACGTCATCCTTTTCTGCGACATGTGCAACCTGGCCGTGCATCAGGAGTGCTACGGGGTGCCCTACATCCCGGAGGGACAGTGGCTCTGCAGACGGTGCCTGCAGTCACCCTCGCGAGCCGTGGACTGCGCCCTCTGCCCGAACAAGGGGGGGGCCTTCAAGCAGACGGACGATGGGCGCTGGGCACACGTCGTCTGTGCCCTCTGGATCCCGGAGGTGTGCTTTGCCAACACCGTCTTCCTGGAGCCCATCGACAGCATCGAGCACATCCCGCCGGCGCGCTGGAAGCTGACCTGTTACATTTGCAAGCAGCGCGGCTCCGGGGCTTGCATCCAGTGTCACAAAGCCAACTGCTACACTGCCTTCCACGTCACCTGCGCCCAGCAGGCCGGGCTGTACATGAAGATGGAGCCCGTCCGGGAGACAGGGGCCAACGGTACCTCCTTCAGCGTGCGCAAAACCGCCTACTGCGACATCCACACGCCGCCGGGCTCTGTGCGCAGGCTTCCCGCCCTCTCCCACAGCGAGGGGGAAGAGGAGGACGAGGAGGAGGAGGAGGAGGGGAAGGGCTGGAGCTCTGAGAAAGTGAAAAAAGCAAAGGCCAAGTCTAGGATCAAGATGAAGAAGGCACGGAAGATCTTGGCGGAGAAACGAGCCGCAGCACCCGTGGTTTCTGTGCCCTGCATCCCCCCGCACAGGTACGACCCACCGCCCTCCCTTGGCTGTGGAGAAACTTCTCCCTTTCTCCGTGCCTCGTCTCCTGCTTTCCACGTGGGCATTATCTTGTTCCTCTCGTTAGCTTTTCGCGCAGGTACTTTTCACTTTGTTCTTGCAGAGGGCTGTTGGTGGTTTCCTCTGGGAGTCTTGCAGAGAGGCAGGGCGATGCGCTGCCCCGCAAAGGTGTCTGGGCCCTCGGCGGGGCAGGAAATCGCTGCTGGTAGTTTAACGGCAGAGAACCAACTTGGCCGGATGCGTCAGGAAGCAGCTGGGGGTTCCCAGCGCTCCTTTCCTGTTGCGCTGACCTCATGCACCGGAATAAACTGGGGAGGGAGGGGGGGGGGCTGCTCTCCTTTCTGCTGGGGTTTGTTTTCTCCCAGGGCTGTGCTGGGGAAAAGAGGGAAGTGTGGGAGCGATGCAGGCCTGGGAAGTGGGCTAACCCCGGGGGTTGTTTTGGCTCTGGAGCAGAGAGGTCTCGTATCGGGATCCCTGTGCCCTGCTGAGCGCAGCTCATCCATTCCGGCAACCGCTTACCCCTGGCTGGGCTTCCTGTGTTTTGTGCTGGTCGCAGGCAGCAGCTCTGCCTTGGCGTTGCCTGTCGGAGCGGGGCCGGGCGGCAGCGGGGCACAGAAAGCCTCTGCACAGCTGCCTGCAAGGGGCAGCTGGAGAGGACCGGGGCTCCTGCCTGCCGAGGGGCACGACTGGCGTGAGGTTGGCTTCGCAGCACGACGGCAGCGCAGGTGTTGTCGGGAAGGTACTTGAGGCCTTGCCAGGGGTTGTGCGTGTTTCTGTCGCGCCCCGACCCTGAGGGCTCGCAGGAAGGCGCAAACACCTCGTAGCTAAAGGTGTAACCGTCATGTGTCTCGCTGTGATCTGATCATTGGGCTGGCATGCAAATCATGAAACAAGAGCATCTAAGAGCCTTGCCAGAATTTGTCAGTGTAGTTTATAACTCTGGGTGTCCTCGGCAGCGTGCAAAAGCACGTAGAAGCATCTTAGGATGGTTTTGGATCTTGCTGTCACCCTGCA